GTGAAACTGCTTTGGGTTTATTTCAAATGTAATAGACACAGAAATGGAAAAGATAGGAGAAAAGAAGAATGGTTGGGAAAAGGTTTAAAGAGGAAGAAGGAGACAGGCGTAGAGGAGAGAATTTAACCAACAGCCTAGAAGTCTGCCTCTACACCTGCAGAAAGAGAAAAAAACTAAATGAAAAGCTCACGGTTCAAACTGCTTAAGCAGTTAAGATCTGAATCCAGCATTATTTTAGCACCTCGGACCTTGGAATGGGTTCTGTTGGCTCATGGGTTGACTGGAAGCAGCGTAATGCATGACCACAAGTGGGCTCAGGCTTCTGGGAGTCAGAGGACAGCGGAGAGGCTCTAGCACTAAGTTATGTCCTTGACCAGCTTTTCCCCTCATCACTGTCTCTGGTTTGCTTTCGTACCCAATCCCATCCATATTAACTTTCTAGCTATTGAATTTCGTCCTTTGCATTCTTAGCCAGAGTGGCCTAGCTGTTAGTCGCTGGCTGGTGCCTTGCAGCAAGGAGGTACTGAGTTAGAATCCTGCATGTGTAGGTTACTACTCCCACAGCTCAGAAACAGGCATGTTGAGGTTAATTTACCACTCTAATTTGCACTCAGTTGTGTGTGTGTGTGTGTGTGTGTGGTTATAGTTCTCTGTTGCTCTGTGATAGACGAGTGCTCTGACCAGGGCGTACCCCGCCTCCCCAGCAATCCTGCATGGATTATTAGGCAGCTGTAAGAGATGGATGCCTTGGTCAGTGATTGTAGATTTAATTCAAGAAATTGTCATCTTTACTATGTTATCCACATTTTTGACAAAAGAAAAAAAAAAAAAAACACCAAGGAAATAAACAAACCGGTACCTCACCAGGCTCTGTCTCAATCACAGGATCAAGGAGATTTGAGGTAAATATCTGAAAGATTAGAGCAGAGAAAGTGAAGCACGGTGGAAGAAGTGAGCGAGGATGAGCTTGTGATTGTCTCTGCACGTCAGATGAGAAAAATGTCAAAGAGAATGTGAGAGATGACCTCTGCGTTCATCACCCATTAATGACCCTGCAGCTCTCAGCTTCATTTTCGCTCTCATGCAAAACATAAAAAAAACATTTCCTCCTGTCTCCAATAGTCATTTCCCCCCGCATTGTATTTATGTATTGAAAAAAAAAAAGGTAATAGATCAAGCACATTCCATTATTCTCTTATAAGATCATTAGCAAATATAATTAGATATGAAAGAAAGTAATTTGGAGAGAAGAGGAGAGAAAAGCGCTATCAGGCAGAGAAGACAGATTGTAGCATCAGAGTGTTTGGGCTTAAATTGCTCAGCAGAGGTATTATCAAGCCGGCAATCTTTTAGCCTCAGAAATAGTTTTGGAGACAGACAGCAAAAGATAGAAAGAGGCCACTAACATTGACTTCATTGTATTTCCCCCCAACTGCAATCATTCTTTTTTTATATATATTTTACCGTCTTTTCCAGTTTCTCTCTCTCTCTCTTTTGCTCTGAATCAAATCATCCTGTCATAGGTATCACCTCGCACTAGACCCCGTGAGTTTGCAGCACAACAAAAAGCGAGTTTATAAAAAGAAAACAAGTTGACACAGAGTCATCACAGACAAGAAAAAAAAGCAGGAAAAAACAAAAAAAGCAAATTATCACAGGCAGCAGAAAACAGCTAACCTTCTCTGCTCACTTCTCGTGTGTATTGATTCGGCTTTTGTATTATTTTGGCAACTTTAAAGAGCAGGCATAACACACAAATTGCGGCGTGCCTTGAAGCGGCTTCTTGAGGAACCTTCTCTTTGCAGATCTCGTCGTCTCTCTTTCTGCACGTGGCACCTCGCGCCACACACACTCCTCACCGGCGCGCGGGAGTTTTCCTCACTCTTTCTTGCACCTTAACACCGCACTGTGTTTGTCTAATAAGGATCTGAGCTGAAAGCAGACTGAGAGCACAATAATCCTGCTGCGTTTTACCACAAATTTTCTTTTTTTTTTTTCTTCCTCACCTCTTCTCCTTTAGTAATGCTTTAAGGGATTGAGGGGGGTGGGATGGGTGAAAGAGGAGGGGTGGGCTGGCGGTATGGATGTGGATTTTTCTAGTCTTTTGTGCGAATCACAGGGAATGGTAACTATAAACATCCTGTATTCATTAAAACCATCTAAAAATACAATTTTGGGAAGGGGGGAGCGGGGGGGTGGCAAGGGGTGCGCTCACTTCCTCGCCGCTCCTCCTCAGTGTATACAAGCAGCCTGTGTTATGCCTAGTGCTGCTCATATTTACATATTTATAAATGCTGGGCTGTACAATGAGCCGGGGCTTTGCCAAGAACAACAGTTTTTTGCGAATGTCGAGCCCAGATGCCTGTGAGAAGGAACAAAGCAGCCATGAGCAACTCCAGCGGCATGGACAGAGTTCACACAGGTCTTTCATGGCTTTCTAACACCTCATGTCCAGATGAGGCAACACTTGATATATTCTGTCATTTTTCTGTTCAGTCTGATATTTCGACTGATACCGTTGTGTGAATTTAAACAATTCATTTTGTTTAAATGAACATAAGGCCAAAACTGAACTTTTTAAGTCCACACATGAGGCGATGCAATACACAGACAAAATCTTACCAGGAATTTTTGGTCTAGTTTCTAGCTCAGATATTTTTGTATGCTTAAAATAAAACAAAACAAATTTAAAAGGAACATCTCAGCAAGATAAATACACTCAGGAATGTATTATTCTTTAAATAATTATTTAAGTCAGTAATTCTTGAACATGGTTTAAAAAAAAAAGTTTATTTAAAAAAAAAAAAATAGTTCCACTGGCATATTTTTCACTTAATTTTTTTAAAAAATGTCTTGGTATATGTGGGGGAAAAATCTGCCATTGGAACTATTACATTTTTATCTATATTCAAGAATCATTGACTTAAAAAATCATATTTATTTTGCTAAAAAGATACTTCTATATTGGCTTTGCTTTTTTTAAGTGTACTCAAATATTTGATCTAGAAAAGAGACAAAAATACTTGTTATGATTTTGTTGTATTGCAGTGTGATTAGAGTTGATGTGTAACTGAAAATGTTCAGAGATTTGTTTTAGATATTTGGAAAAGGTGGAAACCAAGGAAGCCAGCAAACGACATGAAGCTGGAGAGAAGTTAGAAACAGTTTATTACCAACCATGTAGGGATCACAGTAAACCCAACCGCCCCAACTCCTCAACCACCGTTCATCCTGTGTTTTCACATAGGAAAAGCATTGAAACACACTGAAGGACTGCTGAATGCTACTAATGTTAGCATTTCTCTTATTGCCATCATATTTGCAGTATTTGTGTGTATCAGGGTTTATGATATTTAGGGGTCAGACACAGGCTGAAATGATTAATCAAATTAATTGTGTTCAACTAATTTAATAATTGATTATTTGTTATAAAGACTCAAAAAAAAGAAATTTTGGTGAATAGCAAATTACCTTTTGCTTTTCTTTCAGCAAAACGACAACTATTTAGCATTTAACATAGATACATATAAAAAGCGAATGCTAGAGGAAGGCTATGCTTTTAGGCAATAAAATGTTCAATTTCTAAAATACATTATTTGTTTATTTGCATATATTCTTAATATTGTATACAAATGATTAAGTCGTTAAATGAAAAATCTGCTGAATGTGCCATTGTTTGTGTTATTATTTCTGAATTTTTTATCGGGGGGGGAATAGTTAGTTGTAGCCCTGGTGTGGATGTCTCTAGCTGCCTTTACTTATTTATTTTGGAGTTGTGTTTAAATTTGGATTTTTTTAATTTCTTTTAATTTTTTTTAGTCATCCACTGAAAACCAAATAAATCAACAAACTGGATTTAATCTCACTGTCTCCACACCTGCAAACTCCACACAGTTTGCTGATGTGGAGTCAGAGCAGATGTGGAACATAAAGCACAATTTCATTCAATCTAGATTGATAAAATATAATGAGAGTTTTAGATACTCAGGTTAAATAAAAATATAATAGCTACTGTTGGAACCTGAACATGAATCAGACGTATGTCCTGGCTCCAACATCATCAAACACTGAATGTTGTTTGTTTTTTGTTGTTGTTTTTTTTTATGCACATAGCTGCAGTTGATGCCACATTATCCTTTGAGACTACGTTTCTTCCGCTCACACTTCCACACATATCTCCACCACCTTATTCCCATGCGGTCTCTCACGCAGGCTCAGAGTGAAGTGGTACACCATTGTTCCTTCCTCCATCCCATTTATCCATTCTGTTGAGCATGACACATGTATTAACAGTGGATGGATCCTGGAGCTGGGTGTCCTCACACCATATGTTTTGCTTTCCCAGGTCCTCTCCCACAAAATCCCCACACCCTCTCTCCTGCCATCTGCCATCTCACACAATGCCACATGAGGGCGCCCTGCTCCTTTATGTCATTACATAGGAATGTGGCATGTGCTGTAAATTATTTCCAGTGACAAGTATGTTTATCTGAATCACGCTGCCATCTTATAACCATCATGTATGCACACTGCATCTTCACTCCCCCCCCACCCCCCCAGGGTGCTTTGATGAAAACAAAGAGATAAGCCTTGCATTCATGTGATAAATGAATGCCAGGCAGGTTTTCTGTGTCTGTTAGGTGCATCTGCCGTCTACCCGAATGGGAAATTAAAAACTGTGATGGTGGGGGGGAAGTTATGCTAAACCTATAAAGTTGGCCAGGAAATCTCTTACCCCTCCTTCGCAGCGGCAGTTGTTTGGGGAGAAGGAGCACCATGCTTAAATAATAACATTCCAGGTGGCTTAGTTAATGAACAGTGAAAATCAAATATGGGGCCCTAATCTGGAGCTCGTTACAGGAAGTTTCTTTACAGGGAAGTCACAGGCAGGAAGTGCCCTTGGGGAGAAGCAAAATACTTTTTGAAGATTCAGGGGGGGGGGGGGGGCTTTGTTTTTGCCCAAGCTTTGAAAGATTTTGCACATAAAAAAATAAATAAATAAAAAATTAAATAAAAAAATTAAAAAGAAACAATCTCATGGCAAAATTTGGCAATGTAAATGAAAGGCTTTTAAAAGAGCAACATTAGCTTCTCACTGAGGTGCAACTTTCAATTTTGCAATGCCGAGACTAAACAACCTTTAAAGGAGACGTGTGTTAAATGAACAACATGGAAAGCTGCCGGAAGCTTCCAGTGACTCATTTACTGTCTTAGTTTGCCATCTTGTGGCCGTAGCTGTGTATAACATCATGTTAGTCCAGAAATAAATAGTGAGTGCAAAATGAATTTGAAAAAAAATAAATAAATTCTAGTCATAGGCTATATACCACTTATTCTACAAATATTAATTACATCAAAAGAAAACTTTTTTTTAGTGTTATTTTTTAATCAACCGAGCAATTTGAAGGGCATAAGCAGAGTCTTATGAGACGTACAGGGGAGGGAAGTTAGTGCATGTTGGAGCCATTTCCTCAATGAACAGACGGCCGCAGAGTTATTACTCAGCATTGAGTCTCAGAGATGTTTTATCTTGTTATTAACTCCGTTCATTCTGATACCCATATCTGTACTGGTGTGTGTGTGTGAGAGAGAGAGAGAGAGACAGAGGGAGAGAGAGGAAGAGAGAGAGAGGAAGAGAGAGAGAGGAAGAGAGTGCGGTTCAAATAAACTCGTGTTTTAATTTGATTTTGTCAGATTCATAACGCCAGTTTTAAAAGAGCATGACATGCAAATGTTCTTGGTGATGTTTTATTGCAAAATAATTTCCAAATAAGTTGCTGAGGGAATGAAAATGCAGACGTGTGTATGTGTGTGTGTGTGTGTGTGTGTGTGTGTGTGTGTGTGTAGGAGGGGTGAGGGGAAGGTTGTCAGTGCTTCTGGACGCAATAACAGTTATCTGTTTCCAGCTGTTTTACAATACTTCATTTTTATTTTTAGTTCTTTTTTTAATTGAATCACTCTGCTCACTTTTCACACACTGTCACGCTGCTTGTCACGCTTATTGAGTTAAGTGAGTTGCTTGTAACTCGTATGAAACTACTACCCCAGGTGTCATAACTATAATGCATTTCCAGCTTCTGTTTTGAAGACATTTTATTTATCTTCAAATAAGGAAGTCACTTTGTACACTACTATGAGTGAGACAGAAAAACACTGTTTGCAATTAGCAGTGGATTTATTCAATAGATGCTGCAGTTTATTAAAGCTGTGATCTTGCTTTAATAAACTGTAGTGATTGTTACAGAGTGTCAGAATATGTGTGAGGTAGAAAAATGATAAAACAGCAGATAATGATAATGACAGCAGCACCACCAGAACCCACAGGACCAGAGAGAACAGAGACACCTGATCTGATCTGACCTGATTGACGATGTTCAACAGGCCTGATAGATTCTAACATTAAGGAATTCACCAAAACAACCAAATAGAGAGGAAATCCTGGACATACTTTCACATTGCCATGGTGAGTGCTAAGTCACTCACCATGGCTGACCAGTGATATGAGTTGAGATAATCAACTCATATAATCTAAATCTGAAAGAAGCCCATTCCTCCAAAAGACAGACCACATTCCAGATTCCCGAGTTACAAACTGATTCATCACCTGTTCTATGTAAACCTGAACCTGCTGCTTCGACTTAACACAGTCCCTCCACTTGAGATCACGTAATCTTTCCCATTCCTGTTCCAGATGTACTAACTTAATGACAACTAAACTATTTTCATATCAATCACTAGTTTGCATGTGGGCCAATCTATTTTGAACTTTCCTTTGATCATTAACTGATTATGTAACTTAGAAGACACGGACTAAACTATTTTAAAGCAGGTCATTTTACTGAGATTTGAACTTCTTCACAGATTTTTGTGTGGAGAAAAATGAAACCTCAAAGAAAGGCACTGATACATCATTAATAGTTTACTACTTTTGCAGATTATCCAACAAAACTTGTTACTTTTCCAAGGAAAATACAGCAGACATCTACATTTTAAAACGCTAAGATAAAATAAAAACATCTTCTCACTACAGTTGTGCCAGACAGAAAAAAACTCAGAACACAAAGACATTATTAAAGGTTTTGTTGTTTTTTTATATTATTACCATCCTTGTAATAGATCCTTCTCAAACTGTATTCATTAGACAATCTCAATGTGGACATTGAGATTAGTTGGCACTGGTGGCTCGAACAAGTAGTCTTTTCAAAACTATGTTATGAACCTTTAAACCAGTGGTGTCCAAAGTGGGCCCTTGAGGGCCGGCATCCTGCATGCTTTAGTTATCTCCCTGGTTTAACACACCTGGATCAAATGATGGCTCATTGGAAGGTCTAAGAAGAACACTGACATGCTCCATAGAGGTTGTTACTACCATCAGAGAGAAACATGCAGGATGCCAGCCCTCCAGGACCCACTTTGGGCACCACTGCTTTAAACTATCATTATCAGTTCTGCTTTGTGCAGTTATTTACAGAGAAGTTGATTATTTATTCAGTAAACAGAGATAGGAAGCAGTGCACCAACAGAAAATTGATGGTGTTTCTGCTCACAGGTTTGTTTGATACAGGAAGGTTATTGGTGCTGCACTACCTCCAACCTTCACTTCCTGTGTCAGTAATCATAAGCTTCTGTGTAAATAATCACGCAGTTCCAATGAGACAATGGTTCAAAGATTCCTAAACATGTGTTTAGATGAACAACTTTGATGTTTTTGAGAGCAGAGTTGTTATGGGACGGTGAACTTCCCCTTTAATCTTGGTCCAGTTTCAATTTTCAGTGTCAACTGTTGTTGATTAGTAGTCTACAGATTAATCTTCAGCAGGTGACATTTAAAACTCATGTTTAAAACTTTACGTTGACTGCGAAAGCTGACATTCAGAAATGTAACCACAAGATTCAATGCTGAAGAGTTTGAGTGTGTTAGTGTTCACATGCTCACAGTGCTAATCTGCCTCTTGTTCTCTCATTGGCTGCAGCACATCTGTGGCTAGGAGAGGAGGACCAGCCCATGACCCATGACCCCGCGTTGACCCTCGAGCCCAACCAGCTTAACAACGATCTTAGCCACCCTAACAACCATAACCTGGGTGAGCCTAAGGGGCTGGACGCCCATGTTGGAAACAAAGACTAACAACTTCCACCAGAGCAAGGCTCAGCGACGACCACAATGATGACAATGAAGGTGATGATGAGGTGAAGGAGGATGAAGGTTAAATGAAGGAAAACACTATAACAGAGACTTTATTTAAGATGATTTAAAAAAAAAAAAACTACCGTCAGAGGGAATGGAAAGAGAGAACTGTTCAATGGGACTTCTAAGACGGTGTTTGAATTTGCGAGTTGGACCTAATGACTTTTGCAAGCATCCTCGCACACTTATCAAGATGATGGCAACCTTCCTTTGTGTTTCCTGTGGTCTGAATGCATCTTGTCTTTGTTGTCCTATACGCATTGCTTCTGTTTTCCTTCAGGTCTTCTTTCTTTTCTTTGGATGAAACTACCTGTCTGAAGATGACTTCCTGTAAACTAGCCCTGACATTACCGACACATTCCTGGAGCTAGAAAAAATCTTTTGTAACTAGGACTGAAGTATTAAAAACTTAATGAAATCTGTTTCCTTTTCCTGTAAAGTGAAGATTATCCTGTTGTACTTGGTAGAATGTATTCTACTGCTGAATAGAAACTAAACTTTAGCAGACTGTTGACTGAGACCAAGCACATTCCTGTCAAACTAGCACCTCGCGCCTCTCCTTTCAGCTGCCATGACTCCCTGTTTATGTCTCACATCATTCACGCTGAACATGGCTAACTACAGACATGGTCCTTTTTTTCAACATGGTTCTGAAGGTATGACTGGTTGGCTTTTGATGATGGCGGTGTTAGTAAGGATTGCGAAGATGGAACGGTCAAACTGCTATAAATTCAACACCCTCCATAACCAGGCCTTCATCCCACTACAGAACCTGTTCTTTTCAATTGTTTTCTTTATTTTTTTCAATGCAGCTCTGGTGCTTGATGTAAATAGAAAGATATTCAGCAGCGCGACAAAGTCGACATTTAAAATGTTTGCCATGAGGGAAAGTAGAGGAGTGTCGATAGTTTATTGGCCGTAGAATCACACGGCCGCCGTTCTTCTCAAGTTTGAAACGGAAGAATTAAAAAAAAAGAATCAAAAAAACGAAAAGAGCAAGAACAGTTTTCTTTCTTTGAACCCCTACATCCCTTTTGCTTCATCTCTCATATCTAACCTGGAGGACTGTAGTGTTGCAGATGTTTGTATAATACTGCCACCAATCATTGTTGCACAGTGTTACTGACTACTGAAAATGGTTTGATGTATTTACTTTAAGATGAGAAAAAAATAGCATAAAACTGGAAAAAGACAATGTGTATAGCCTTAGATTACAAGTCATCTGTTATTGCTACTTCAAAGCTATGTAACTGTGCTAGACTGTAGGATGTAGGGTTGACTTTATTTTGAACTTTTATATGTACTGTACATTAATGCCTTGTCCATTTACTGATCAAAAAAGAGAGAAAAAAATGAGAAAAAAGAGGAAAAAGATGACAATCGTCTCCTGTGCCCCCATATATACAGATCCATAATGCATAGAGGGACTTATCCTTTCTGATTTCTTTCATTTGTTTGGATTCTCAGAAGTATTTTGCACTGTGATAGTATTATAAATCCAACCTATACAGTACAAAACTAGCTAATTAACTAAAATGAGCGTGTGTTTGTGTGTCCCTTGGCATTGTGAAATGTTTGTCATTTTTTTGTGAACCCAGAGGTAAAAAAAAAAAACTCAGAGAAAAAATAGTCTAATGCGGTATGTATAGTCCAAATATAATACTTTTTTTTTTTTTAGTTTGATCAACATCTATACTGTATGTGACTTTTAAAAATTGTTCCTCAGATTTTTTTTTTTTTTTTTGTATGCTAATCCCTTTCTGACCTACAGCATAGACCTGTTACTGCTTTCTCCTGGGTGACTTTCTGAACTTGGATACCAGCCTGAGAAGATTTTTGCCCTGCCAATGTTTTCTTTGCAGCTACATTGAAATGATTTCTGCAGACCACAATAAACCATACTTTCAATTTTATAGAAGAGGATATTCTAAATCTAAATAATAACAAAGGTGAGACATTGAAAAGTGAGAAGCTATCCTTTTTGGGGTTTGGAAGTGGGGTCAAAGCAAACCAGTTGGATGATGAAATCACTGACCAACAGTTTTGACTTTTGATCTTATCTCTGTTATCTGAGTAAAGATGAGAGATTCACAGTGAGAGTGGAGCTTGGGCTCTCTCCTTCTCTGAACCAGCTAAAACGATCATTCCATTCCACATATGATGTACAAATCCTGTCTTGTGAGCTGAACACTCTATGTTTTGCTGTATCCTTATGGCAGATGCTTTGTTTTGTAACTACTGAACTGTACTTATAATAAAAATAAAATGTATTCAAACTAAAAAAAAGTGTCAGACTGGTAGACTGACTGGTATTTTTGATTTAGCCTATAGATGCTGTATCAGAGACATTCTTTTTCTTTGCATCTCCAGAGGTTCCACAGTCGTCTCCAGAGCAGAACCAGCCTTCTTTATCAGGCTGTTGAGCCTTTTTAGGTCCCTCGCTCTGATGCTGCTGGCCCAACAGAAGACGGCAGAAGAGATGAAACTCTCAACAACAGACTGATAGAAGATCTGCAGCATCTTGCTGCAAACCTTGAAGGATCTCAGTTTTCTCCAGAAGTCCAGTCTGCTCTGTCCCTTCTTATAGATGGTTTCATTGTTGCATCTAAAGTCTAGTCTGTTTGTCCAGATGAACACTGAGGTATTTATATTCTCAACAACCTTCACTTCTTATCCCATGATGGGAATAGGGTTTGATCTAACCATATTCCTCCTGAAATCTACAATAACCTCCTTTGTTTTGTTAACATTCAAGATGAGATGAGTGTTTCCACACTATGACACAAAACAGTCCACCAGATCTCTGCCCTCAGCCTCTTGTCCATCTCTTCCATCTCTGATACACCCAACAACTACAGAGTGATATGAGTGTTTCTGTAGACGACAGAAGTCAGACTTGTGCTGGAAGTTAGAAGTGAAAATGAATGGTGAGAGTTCAGTGCCCTGTGGAGCTCCTGTGTTGCTGATCACCTGGTTAGACACACAGTCCTTCAGTCTCATAAACTGTGTGAATCGAGTATACCATTAAGTAAATTTGCTGATTTTGCATCAAAGCTTCTGCTACAGTTTCACTTCATAAACTGTGTGTTTGATTTGCAACTGGTAATTTCTGTCCAGAAACCTGAGGTGTAATGTGAGCAGTACACATTAAACCTCTATGTAATGTGGATAATAATTAAAAAGCAAAACTTTGTACTGTTTCTCACACCCACTGGCTTTTATTTCAATGTTCAAAACATCAATGAGAATATCAAGATGACAGCAGTATGACTGAATCCCGCTAGGTGTCACTGTGTCCTACATATTAAACCTTCAGGCTGGTTTTTACTCTGTATGTAAAGCAGCAATCAGAAAATACAAATTTTTTTGGCGGGGGTTGGGGGGAGTTGGGTTCCACTCTATTTCCATTATATAATAATAATAATAATAATAATACTAATAATAATAATAATAATAATAATAATTATTATTATTATTATTATTATTATTATTATTATTATTAGTATTATTATTATTATTATTATTATTATTGTAATTATAATCATGACACCCTGCTGTTTAGCCAGGTGGTCCAGATGTGTGCCATTCAACAGGACAGAGCTATGGGATGGTGTCTGGGTCCACCTGTTTTGTCTGTAACCTGAGCTGCAGCATCTAAATGTAATCTGTTCTCATGTTTCTGTGACCTCCTGACCCCAAACATTGCTGGACTCCTGTGAAGCTCTGCAGGTCAAAGCCTAACTAATTATAAAACAGATCACCTGCAAAGCGCCAGATGTTTGTAAGTGAGCATGTGGGATTGTTTCCAGTAAGGCTCACATCTGGAGAAAGTAACTCCGTGACCAGTTTACATATACATGCATGCTAATCCATGGGGGGGGGGAAAAAAAAAAAAAAAAAAAAAAACACATGTGCGTGTGTGTGTGTGTGTGTGTGTGTGTGTGTGTGTGTGTGTGTGTGTGTGTGTGTGTGTGTGTGTGTGTAGGTGTGTGTGCATGTGTGTTTTGGATGGTTGTCTTAATCCACTTTTGCTAAGTCACATAACTGTTGAAGCAGTCACTTTCAGCAAGCAGAGCTGAACTGTCCTTCATTAGATTCCTCACTTGTCTAATATTTATTCTATCTTTTATTTCTACCTCTCCTTTTTCTTCTTCCCCTTCTTATTCTTCTTCTCTCCAGACATACTTGTGCATGCATGGTGCATGTTGCACCATTGTCTGCTGGCGTTGGATTGGTCACTGGGCAGATGGTGACCTGCAGATGAACCCGTCTTCCAGCTTTCTGCCTCTAATTTCCTCATCCTTGTTTTGCATCGGGAAACCTTGAGTGCAGCCTTTCCATTGCGACCACTAGAGGGCACAGTAGACCAGCTGTTTGGGCCCAGGCAGCCGTGCTATTTTTCAGCATAAGCTTGTCGCACTGCAGAAACACACACTCTTAATGTGCACAGCAAAAACTGAAAATTACACAGGCCTGTTTAACTTAACATCTGAACTTGAAGGCTTCAAACATATCTTAAGTACCACCACAATAAGATGACACCAACCTGTTTCATCTGTGGGCGAGGCTGCCCTGTAGGCATGGATATAATTGTTTGAAGAATGCCAATTACAAGGGAATTCGAAAAGGTTCTTTTTTTCTTTCTTCTACACATTGTGCAGACTGAATATTACTCTTTCTTTGTATATAGTTTTTTTTTTTGTTTTTGTTTTTTTGTTTTTACATACTGGGATCTTAGCTATTGAATCTTTTCATCCTACTAATTCTCAAAGTAAAAGATTTCCTTAGATGTTGTCTTACAGACTGTTCCTGGTTGGTCAGTCTTTATTTTTATTTACACCAGTCAGAATAATTTGTTCCAAAATGAAGATGATTAAAATCAAACTGCAGCTTCTGAATACAGTGCACAAGGATTGTTTCTTTGTGATGAAAAACAGAATGAACAGAAGCTGATTGTGTAATAATTAGATCAGCTGCTTCCATCCAAATATCTGTTATCCAAATCCACTTATTCTTGTTTGGATGCAGTCTTTAACCTCTCAAATATTAATATTATTATTATTTTTATTTTTTACTTTTTTATTTTTCAAAAAGATTCAACTCCTTTCAGGACTTGAAGAGGTCTAACTTGTATATATTTTGCTTGAAAAAAAATATCATATAACTACCCAATAAACTCAAACTGCAGTTTGAGAGTGGATATTAAGTAGAGGCTAGTGTACAGAGCAAATAAATGCTAATGTCGCAGCTTGTCCCCTCATTCTCAAGTGTCTTTTTGTTTACTGCTGATTATTTGTGCTCATGTTTGTGGGTGGGTTTGTGTCTGTGTGCAGGTCAGCATGTGCTGAGAAGTTTGTGTGTGTGTGTGTGTGTGAGTGTACACACAATGCTGAGTACGTGTTATATTCAGGGCTGGTGTGCTATGACCTCCCCTCTTCCTCTCCCTCCTCAGCTCTTATGAATCGATGATCATGTGGTGTAAGGGAGATGAATGGCCCCCAGCTCCATCTTGTCTCCTCTAATTGTAAAATATTAGTTACATTAGACTCTAGCTTGTGATTAATGGAACTTATTTGGAAGGTGGAGTCTCTCACAACCCCCCCCTCCCCCCACTGCACCCCCATACTTCTCTCTCTCTGCTGGTTTATCAGCAGCAATCTCCAAAGTCTCTTCCGAAAAGAATAGAGTGATTTCACTGGCAGTGGACAGACAGGCTTCCTTCTCTCGGAAAAGTGGAGATGAAAAGAAAAGAAAAATCAGGAAAGAGGGAAGAGAAGGAAGACAAAAAGGTAAAGAAATGATAGAAGGGGATGAAAAAGAAAGGAGAGATTAAGAAGGGGGCCATTCACAGGCTATCAGGAGAGCTTTCAGAAACGTTTTAGCTGCTGCTTGTTTGTAAAAGGATTTAAACCTTGTGGTAGATAAGGCTGTATGTGGGATCTTAGCTGAAAAAAGGCTAAACATGATCATGTTTT